TCCAGCTTAACTTAAAGAAAATATCAGAAGACGCTTGTTGGTCTAGCATAAACATAGTTGTTTTACACATAAATGTACAATAAGAAGTCAAATGGCATCCGCCGTAACATTTGTTAATCCAGAGGTAGATCTGAAATTCTTTATGTCAAGAATAAAGGAGAGTTTTTATTTCTCCAATGCGAGCTTTCTGGATTATGTTAAGGGTACCTCGGGGGATATCACACACAGAGGAAAATTTAAAGCAAACAACCGTCTCACTATCAGTGCAATATTTATTCAGGTATGTATTTTATTTCCATAAGCACATAGGAAGATTCTTGGAACATAATTTAGCCCAACATAATATACGAGTGGCATCAAGTTATAAACTTGAGATGTATGCAATAGCTATATGAAGATGGTTCTGCTGAAATTGCATTCCATTCTTTAGTACTCTTCCCGCTACTGTGTTCGGCCTCAGTTTCAAAATTATATGTGCAGGAGTCTGCAAACAAAGCACGTACATAAATTATTAAATTAAGAGTAATGCGTACATATATTAAAGTGTGTGTGTATTCAGTTATGGTCTAGCTTGGTCAGTTGATATCGTAGTATTTAGAGAAACGTTATTTTAAACTATGGCTTTTTATGAGAAAAACCTACTTTCAAGATAGGTTGTATAGACGTCAAAAAACTGCAGCGCTTCGACGAGCAGAGACGTTGAGCAGAGAGATGTATCGATATGTCTAAAGGAAATATTCTCGAGGTAGTAGGAGGTACAGTCTTTTGCACATGATTCTCCTTGGTCATACAACTATTGTAAGCGCTACAGCTTTAATTAACATTAAAACATTCTCTTCGGCAATCATTCTTAGCAATACGTGCGACTTTTGTCCGATCCAAGAAACTGTCACCCCGAGGAAGAAGGTAACTTTTTGCAGGCAGATTACATTTGCTTGTAGAAGAAAATAGCATGTTTTAAGCAAATAAAAAAATCAAGTATTGCTTAATTGTCAATCAACCTGAAAGGGCAAGAAAGGTTTAATCTTTAAACAACTAAATTAATAACAGTTGAATTTAATGATAAAAAAATTACAGAAATTTAATTAAAAAGTCATGCACCAAAATAATTTCTTAAAGCAAACTTATTATCTTTTTTTAAATTATGTACTTATTTTATTTAAGTTGGTTAATGTATTTATTTAACGTAAGTGTGAAGGTTTATCACAATAAAACATAAGAAAATGTTTGAGTATAATTTAGTTGAAAGGAATGTGTCAAATTCGTCGTATGAATTAGTTCATATCGTGGGCTTAAAGTTAAAACTGCCCAAGTCTAAATATCAATTTTTGGTTAATTTACTTTTAAACCGAGCCAAAAACTATATCCAAATCCTTCTGGAAATTGGTAATTAAAAACATCTTTTAGTGCCTGTTTGTGTGGCCTTGGGAGACTTCGTCAGTTTTCGAAGACAACCACAAATACGGCCATTTTGGACTTGGTCACTTTTAACTTTAAACCTCCGATATATCAATTGATTCTCAAGGCAGCGAACTCTCGAGTGATTGAACCAGTGCTCTACAAATTATCATTTGATATGACAGTAAATTGATGAAATATGGAAAAAATCTAATAAATCTATTCAGTTTCAGGTCACTGATTTCATATAGCACAGAGTGCAGAGCCGGCAGCTAATTCCGATTTAACCCTCCAAAGCACTAAATATTCCACAAATAGCAAAAAAATGTTTAACGAGCCTAAAGAATGATTAATTAATTTTCATTGACGTATTATACATGAGGGAAAGCACACAACAGCTCATTAATATACTGGATGACGACGCTGAACCAAGTTTTGCACTTATAACTAGTAATTATATCAAGTTGGAGGATGAGGGCAAAAAATTATTAATACGTCTAGAAAATAAGCAGTACTCTTTATGAGGCTTTTTATTTTAAAGTCTATCCAAGTCTGTCGAACATAATTTATTAGGATAAAACATAAATGTGACTCAGGTATTGAAAAATTAGAAATTATGTAAACGGTGGCTGAGCCGATATAAGACTACGTGTGAAAATTATTTAACAATAAGGAACCTACCTACTTTTGCTAGTATGCAACTGTAAAGATCAAACATTCCATTTCTCGGTTTGCAATGTTATTTTTTAATGACACCGTTTAATTGAAATAAACAGCGAAAAACTCTAGTTAATATAAATATGTGGTAAGATAACTACAATATTTATATTAATGTAACATTAAAATACATAAATATATTTTTTCTCATATGTTAAGCTCCATCACTGTCCATTATAAAAACTTGATACATAGTTACTTGGGATGATCATACGCAAAGTTGAATAAAACATCGTGTACCTTAAATATGTATATAGAAACAAAAATTAACTGTTTTATAGTTACATTGTATTTTGCAAACACCGCATATGATACTATATACAGGGTTGCTCATTAGTGCGTCAAAGTGCGATATCTCAGTAAATATGAACTTTACAAGAAAATACGTCCTACGAATGTTTTTCATGTTTAAAAGGTCCACATTTTAAAATTACTTTCCAATATACGGGGTGTATCATAAACGTGTGGTAGTTACCAACTTTGGTTTTTTAAATGGAACCGCCCCTTTTTTCATTCATTTTCAGATTTGTCGTCAAAATTTAAGTTAAGTTTGTGTCAAACGTTTTACCTGAAAAATTTACGATTTCCGAGTTATTCGTAAAAATGTGAAAGTTTTGACAGCTACTGGGTTCCACAGAAATCGATGCTGTACACTACCCGCTGCGAATTTTGGAAAACAGTTTTCAGCGATTCTAACAGAACATCATGATCTACGCGTAGATATGTTTTAAATTATAAGTAAATACTTCTAAACCGCGCAATTAGCCTCTAAACTTGCATGTTTTTAAACCTCAAAAAGTTGCTTATTTCAAATGGAACCCCCTATTTTTTTTCT